CTAAAGTGAGAATAGCAGCACAATTGGAAGAGCGTAGTCAATGTCACTGAACTGTGCATGTAGAAATTTTTGAAATGGTGTATCTTCGGCTATGTATGTTTTCACCAAAGGGGAAAAAAAAAAGTTGAGAAGGGAGAGGGTTGACTTGTTGTGGGATTGTTAACCAATGTCATAAAACAATATGTGTACTACTGTTTCATGAGAAACTATTTGTTCTGTAAGCCTTCATCTGAAGTACAATTAAAAAAAAAAAAAAGTACAACCCCCGGACGGCCTTATAGTTCAGTAAAGAAGTCACTCCTGAGGTTCACCCTTCATCCAAAGATTAGACAGGCCCATAAAACAAAACGAGACTAAAGGTGCACACCAGCCCAGGGGCAAGGACGAGAAGACAGGAAGGGACAGGAAAGATGGTAATGAGGAACCCAAGGTTGAGAAGGTGTTGATATGTCATGGGGTTGGCAACCATGTCACAAAACAATATGTGTATTAATTGTTCAATGAGAAACTAATTTGCTCTGTAAACCTTCATCTAAAGTACAATAAAAAAAAATTACAAAAAGAAAAAAAATCAGCCATTGAAAACTCTATGGAGTGCAGTTTTACTCTGACACACGTGGGGTCGCCGTGAGTCGGAATCATCTAGATGGCTGCTGGTTTATGTTTTTGTTTTGTACTGGCATAGTTTTTGTACTTTTTTAGAAGCTTTGCACATATTGCTGTTCTTTTGTCCCCTGGCACCGTTCCCTTGAGCAGGTAGAGCGAAAGGACACGTCCACTGCTGTGCCTTCAGGACAGGCTCACAAATCTCCTGACTTGGTCCCTTTCCTCTCTCACCACGTTTCACTGAGACAAAGGCAGGACCATGGCCTTTTCTCCACTGCTTTGCTGGCTCTTCATGCCTCCAGATTTTCCTCAATCACTAGTATTTGGGATTCTATTTTCACCCTCATTTTGAGTTTTCTATTTTGAGATGCAGAGCTGTGCCAGGGTTCATCCTCGCAACTCACCTTTCATACACGTGGAAGCATTATAGTAATACCCTTCTAAACACAGGCAAAACGAGCTGTTACACAGAGCAATACAAGAAGAACCACCTCCACAGGACGCTTTTTGGCAAGGACTGGTGGAATCTTAAATAGAGGAGAAAGAGATTAAAAATTCACAGAAACGACGACAACCAACAGCAAGGAACATATTTTGAAAGCTTCATGCTTCCCTCCTGGGAACTTTTCATTCCTCAGCCATGTTACTCCATGGCATACCCTTTGAAGACCTAGAAGCAAACAAATGTGGGTTATTATTATTATTGTGTCACTGGGGAGTTTGTTGCTGAAGTTCTGGAGCCGAGTGGTTGCTGTCAGCAAAGGCAAGGGAGGGTCTTCATAGAGAAAGAGATAGCAGTCTTTCTGATTCCAGGCCGTCTGGAATCTTTGAAACTTAAGGACCCTCCAGAATCTTGATGCCTGGTCCTCTAACACTAGGTAGTACTCTCCAAAACCATTTTATAGAAAATACCATATTTTTTTGTAAGGTATAGTAACTGTCTTTTAGAGAGGAGCAGGCAAGGAGCTCCAAAAAACAACCAAAAAAACAAACCACATATCACATTCTGGTTTGCATACAGGATACACAGATGCACAGAGAAAGGAAAGCAATCGTGAAGAGGTAGATGTGGACTAACCCTCCTCCCTCCCCTCTGGCTTTCTGCGTGGATGACTGGAATAAATGGTGAGAATAATATTGCAATGACATTCCCACCCCTGGTAGGAGCTCCCAGATCAGGCAGCATGCAACATCTTTCCTTTCCCTGGAGAACAGATCAGATCTGAAGAGAGACGTTAGGGCAGTGGCCAAACGGTGATCTTGCTTTGCCATTTTCACCTCCGTCTAATGAAATGATTCTGAGCTTTGACTCCAGAATAGCTCAAGCGTCTGACAACCTTCAGAGCTGTCATGAGATTCTTCCAAATAAATCTCTAAGTAAAATCTTTGACTTTTTTAAAGCTATATATAAGCTTTAGAACAACGTGTAAAGGATGCTCCTTTTTGTGATTAAAAAAAGGGAGGGAGGATACGCAGAAACACACAGATATGTATGCCTGTACATGCAGAAATTATCTCTGGAGGCAGACACAGGTAACTAGTTACAACAGCTGCCTCTGGGGAAGGAAGGTGGGGGTCTGGGTTCTAGGCGTTTAGGATGGGAGGGAGATTTATGTCTATATACATGTATATAGATATTTCCTTAAATAATACTTTATTGTGTTTTTGGTGAAAAGTTTACACAGATTTACTTTTTACTGCACAGGCAGTGCCTGGATTACGAACGAGCTCTGTTCCTGAGTGTGTCTTTAAGAATTTGTAGGTAAGTCGGCACAAGGGCATACAGTTCTTATTTAGCCTTACTTTAGTGCAAGAGGAGCCCTGGTGGTGCAGTGGTTAAGGGCTCAGCTGCTAACCAAGAGGCTGACAGTTCAAATCCACCAGCTGCTTGTTGGAAACCCTATGAGGCCGTTCTACTCTGTCCTATAGGGTTGCTCTGGGTGGGAACTGACTTGAAGGCAAGGGGTTTGGTTTTGGGTTTTTGGTGTAAGAAAAGGCTCGAAGCCTTGTCCACGATTTAAAAGCTGCATATGCTGCCAGTGAAGGTGGTTGTAATGAAGACTTTGTGGCAAGGAGGGGTTGGTTCAATTCTTTCAAAGTGAGGACAAATTTATATAATATTAAAGGGCAAGTAGGAGTTGTCCAGAAACTGGACTTTGTAACTGTTTGAGGTGCTTTTTATATAACCATGAGCCTGATTTACTTTTATTAAAAAATAAAATAGACTACGTGGGACTAAAAGAGGCAGAGTGCAGTATCCCATAAACAACAGTATGGTTCACCTCTACGGCAAGCCATGAGCCCTTACTCTAAGTAAAGTCAAGGCTTTTTAAAAAGCCTCAGCCACATTTCAAGGATTATTTGGAAAATTCCAGGGAGCAAACTGAGTGCAGCTCCACCCTGGAGACACCAGGCAAATAACTCCTGGTGTGTTCTCTCTTTAGTGGTGAAAGACAGACTTGTAAGCTTCTTCTGTGTGCCAAGAATCGATTAAGTCTCAGGATGTTACAGCTAGAAGGATCTTGGTGGCTATTTAGTTCAGTCACCCCTTATTAAAGATGAGTAAGTTGAAGCCAAAGCTTCAAGCTCTAAAGTTTAAGGATTCTTCTAGACCAAAAGTTGGCAAAATCTGGCCCACCTTGCATTTTTGTAAATAAAGTTTTATTAGAACACAACCGGGCTCCTTGGTTTATGTATTGCCTATGATTGCTTTCATGCTACAATGGCAAAATGGAGTGTTTGTAACATAGACTACATATGATCCACAAAACCTAAAACATTTACTATCTGGCTCTTTACAGATAAAGTTTGCTGACCTCTGTTCTAGACAAAGCTTTGGGAAATGAGGTAGGCGATTTCTGTTTCAATAATTTCTGTTTGAGGTAAATTGTCACCTCTTAGCCAGTATTCCCCAAACATCCTAGGATTGACTGAGCACTGCTTTTATCTTATTTTTCATTCTTCAGGCTCAAATTCCATGACTTGGTTCACATTCCGGATTGTGATCTGTCACCATCTTAACTTCAAGGGTAGAACTGACTCCTTAGGGCAAGGAGGGAGCTAGGCCAGTGGGCTAGAGAGCCAGTGCTTACTTGGACCTGGCCTTCTCAGAGAAGCTGAACAAGTTCCCCAAATCCCCTAGTTGTGGAGGAATCATTTGCAGTAGATGTGGGGGGAGTAGTTGCAGTGGAAAAGGTAGAAAGGCAGGTCTCACAAACTCCAAGCTCATAAGAAATATTACACATCAGGCAAATAGCTTGAGGTAGGATGGGGGTGGGGGGAGAACAGAATGGAACTGAGGGTGATCTTTTAGGGTCTCTGCCATTACTATTAGCCTTTGTGACTCAGATTTTAAGTCCATGATTCGTATCTCAGGAAACTTTGGGTCTCATTATACTCATCACCGCCCCCCCCCCACCAGAACACACTTACCTCTCATCCTTCACAAGGCTAGGAACCATCACTGAAAAGTATTTGAGGGGACTGCTCTTACCTGTGGCACCAGGATTTGGGTTCCTCGTAGATGTTGGAGCTTTTGAAGAAGTCTCTGGGGTTTTTGGAGTAGTTGTGTGGGGA